AACAAACCAACAAACCCAAACCAGCAAACCAACAACAACAACGCAACAAGCAGAATCCTCACCAAGGATTCCCAGTTCAGAACGCACCCAGGGACAATGAATGACCGTTCGGCCCCCTCATTCTGACGAAAGCCTTTGCATCCCTTCGTGCACACACATGTGTATACACACATGGTTATGTACATGTGTATGTGTGTATGTATGTACGCATGCATGTTTGCTATGTATGACTGGATGGATGTACGTATGTATACATGCATGCATGCATACATGTATGGATGGATGGATGGCTGGATTGATGGATGTAGCTTCCCTACCTAGGACCTAGGCTCTGCCTAGAAGGGTTCTTACTCGGTTTGCTTAAAGGGCCGGGCAGTGGGGCTCGCCCCGGGCGGTTCCCCCGGGATCCGCCCCGCGGTTCCCCTAGTTACGTCCTTTTAGTTTAGCGTTGCTTATCTCATCTTAGCTGAGCTTATTTCATCTTAACTTAGCTTAGGTTCATCTTAGCTCAGGTTTATCTTAGCTAGCTTACCTTTGTCTTAGCTTCGCTGAGCTTTAGCATAGCACAGCACAGCATAGCATAGCATAGCGCAGCATAGCATGCGCAGCATCGCATATCATAGCATGGGTGTAATGTTCCCTACGTAGACTCTGCCTAGAAGGGTTCTTACTCTCTATCTTAAAGGGGCCAGGCAGTGGGAACCGGCCTGGGCGGTTCCCCCGGGATCCGCCCCGCGGTTCCCCCAGCTACGTCCCCTTAGCTTAGCGTTGCTTATCTCATTCTAGCTGAGCTTATTTCATCTTAGCTTAGATTAGCTTCATCTTAGCTCAGGTTTATCTTAGCTTAGCTTACCTTCATCTTAGCTTCGCTGAGCTTTAGCATAGCAGAGCACAGCACAGCATCGCATAGCGTAGCATAGCATAGCGCGGCACAGCATATCATAGCATAGTCCAGCATAGCATTGCATAGCGCAGCATAGCATAGCATAGCATAGCGCAGCACAGCACAGCACATCCTAGCACAGCGCAGCATAGCATAGCATAACATAGCAGAGCATAGCATAGCATAGCAGCAAAGCAAAGGCAAAGCAACAGCAGCGACAGCAAAGCAAAGCACAAGCAACGCAAAGCAAAGCAAAGCAAAGCAAAAGCAAAAGCAGAGCAAAGGAAAGGCAAAGCAAAAGCAATGTGCGACAGATGCCGAGCTAGCCTCGATGGCCGGACCGGAGCCCCCGCAAGCAGTGCCTTCCGTAAGGGGGATCGTCTCGAATTCCTCGTCCATTGGAGCCGCCCTCTCTCCATCCTCCGAGCCTGCTCTGGTAGCCCCCCCAGCCTCCAGGAGGCCCCAGGCCCCGCCTCACACGGCGCCCTCTCTCGGGATATCTCAAGAGGCCCTCCAGGGAAGCCCTGGCGAGAGTTCCATTTTGAAGGACGAGCCCCCCCAGCCGGGGCCAGGGCCGGGTCCAGACTCCCGGCTGTTGAGTAGATGTAGATGTAGATGTAGTCTCGCTGTTGATGTTGATGTAGATGTAGATGCAGGTGTAGATACTAATGTAGCTGTCGGTGTAGATGTAGATGTTGCTTTCCTAGATGCTCCAACTCCTAGGTAGGGTCGCACTGGGATAATGTATATCGTGTGTATGCGTGTGTGTATGTACACATGTCGAACACATGTGCGCACGCATATAACCATACATTCATGCATACACACATTCATACATGCATACACATACATACATGCATACAGACATACACATATACGTACACACCTACATGCATACACACATACATGCATGCAGTCATGCATACAAGCATGCATGTGCACATGCTTATACACATACATACATGCATACACATACATACATACATGCATGCATGCATACATACATATATACATACATACATGCATGCATACATACATACATACATACACACATACATACATGCATACATACATACATACATACACACATACATATATGCATACACATCTTTATATATAGACATGCATGCGTACATACATACACAAATACATACATAAATACCTGCATGCATGCATGCATGCATGCATGCATGCACAAGTACATAAATTCATGCATGCATGTATACATAATGCATACATACGTATATACAAACATAATTACACTTACAATTACACTTACACTTGCACTTACATTTACATTTACACTTGCACGTACACTTACACATACAAATATACATTCATACATGCATGCATGCATGCATTCATACATACATACATACAAGCATACGTACCTGCGTACATACACACATGTGTCAACCATACATTCATATACATACATGTACATAAACATACATATGTACATACATCCATACACGCATGCAAACAATCATACACACATAAACACATACGTACCTATATACATGTATACACATATACATACACACATGCATGCATGCAAACATACACACATACATACATACATACATACATACATACAGACAGACAGACAGACAGACAGACAGACAGACAGACAGACATACATGCATACATGCATGCATACATACATACATACATACATATGTGTGTAAAGTATTTATGTATATGTATGTATACACATATGTATGTATCTATATATAATTATATATGTATACATGTGCGCACCTGGAAACAAGGAGTAAACACATCATGAGCGTATTGGCCGACCCAGGAGCGAGAGAGCCCGAGACGGGGAGCAGACATGCCCCCCCTGGCGCTTCTGGAGACCGGCCGCGGGCGGGGAGCGCGGGGCGGGGCCCTCGGCTGCCGTGCGGCCGGGCCGCGGGGCGCCCCGGGCGTCGGCGCCCCGCGGGAGGTCGGGTCGAGCGGGCCCCCGCGCGGAGTCGCAGGTCCGCGGAGGGGGGCAGCGCCTCGGTCGGCCAGGGGGAGGGGCGCGGCCGGCCGCTGCACAGGCCCCTGGGGGGGGAGGGGGGAGAAGGGGGGGGGGGAGGAGAGGCGGGAGGGAGACGAGGAAGAGAGGGGAGGATGTGAGGCGGATGGCGAGGATGAGGAGGAGGAGGAGGAGGAGGAGGAGGAGGAGGAGGCGGGGGCGGAGGCGAGGGCGGGGGCAGAGGCGGATGCGGATGGGGAGGAGGGGGAGGTGAATGAGAAAAGCAGGATGAAGCGAATGAGAAGAGTGATCAGGATAAGGCTGAGGTTCCTCTCGCCTTCCCTCCTCACACCTCATTCTCATCATTATCACCACCATCCACTCTAAACCTCCTCCCCCTTTTCCTCTTCCGTCCCTGCCCGTCCTCCCTCCCTCCCTCCTCCTGAAGGCATGTTTCCTCGTGCGCTCTCCTCCTCTTCCTCCTTCCTCCTTTCCTTCTCTTCCTCCCTCCCTCCCTCCCTTCCTCCTCCACGGCCCTGGCTCGTCAGACCGCGCAGCCCGCCGCGGAAACGCGACCGTAAGCGCTGCGCTGGCCGTTCCGGCCGATGCCCCTCGCGTTGAGCCGCTGAGGGTGTGGCCGGCAGGCCCCCCGGGCAACCAGGGAGGAGGGTGAGGACAGGGAGGGTGGGAGTGACATCAATGCCATCAGCGTCCAGCGCCCACAGGGAAGGGGTGGAGGGAGGACAGGAGGGAGGAGGGGATGGAGGAGGAGGAGGAGAAAGAGAAGGAGAGGGAGGAGGAGAAGGAGGAGGAGGAGGAGGAGGAGGAGGAGGAGGAGGAGGAGGAGGAGGAGGAGGAGGAGGAGGATACGGAGGAGGACGATGAGGAGGAGGACGATGAGGCGGAGGACGAAAGGTGGGGGGGGCGCAGGAGGAGCTTCCCTGGGAGCAGGGAGCGGGGAGGAGGAAGGAGCGTCAGCTTCGAGCCTCGGGTGGGTGGCGGCTCCCCGGGGGGCGTCTGCCCCGCTGCGCGCGCCGCCCTCGCGAGGGGCCTGCGGGGCTGTGCAGCAGGGGCGGCGGGAGGCCAATGGGCGGCGCGAGGGACAGCCCCTCGTGGCCCGCTCTGGTGCACGCGCGAAGTGCAAGCATGCAGGCCTTAGCGGCCCTTGATACGCCCCATGGTGAGACGCAACACGTGCCGTGTTGAAAGCGTTCGTGCTAACGCGTTGCTCGTTGGCTCAGCACGCGTCGGCCCACGTTTCGGCGAGCGTATCGTGCCAGACCCACGTTTTCAGTTCACGTGTTGAGTTCCGCGTCAAAGCGCCACGGGTCGCGTGTTGGGTATGACGGCAGCTCGAATGCAGGCAAGCAGTTACCGCTTGCGCACCCGTGCACGAAGACTGCACGCGCCATGCCCGCAGAGAGCACCTCAGCGGTCAGCTCCAGGACCCAGTCAACCACTGTCGGGGCCCGCAGCACGAGGTCCACCTGCGGCACTCATCCCGGTATGGCTGCCTCGCGCCACGGCGCTCTGGAAGGACAGTCCGCCAGCACGCGGTGCAGGCTCGAGGTCCGACCAGCGAAGCGACCACGGACATGTGCGCGGGCAAGCACAGGGTACAAGGCCGTCTGCAGGACGCGCCCTAGCTCAAGCCCAGCGCGGACGAAGACCTGAAGCCTCGTCCCGAGTCCTCAGGCACGCTGCTCCACTTGTGCTGGAGCGGACCTTGGGAGGGCGACGAGGAGCAGAGCAGAGGGTCAGGGTGCACTGGGCAAGAGCAGAACAGGGGGAGCAGAGCAAGCAAAACAAAGCGTCCACGCCCCGGGGCGCTCCCAGGAGCGGGGAAGGAGGAGGGGGGAGGTGGAGGAGGAGGAGGAGGCGGAGGACGAGGAGCAGTGGGCGATGGGGAAGGAGGGGGAGGGAGGGAGAGGAGGAGGGAGGAGAAGGGAGGGACGAGGAGGGAGGGACGAGAAGGGAGGGACGAGGAGGGAGGGAGGAGGGGGGGAGGAGGGAGGGAGGAGGGAGGGAGGAGGGAGGGAGGAGGGAGGAGGCAGGGGGTGGGGAGCCCGGGGGCTCCGGGGAGCGGGGGGGGGTCTTCGGGGCCCGCCCCGCCAGGCCGAGCCTTGGGGGCCTTCCGCTGGGCGCGGGCGGATGGGCCCGGGCGGGGAACGGCCCGCGGGCGACGCCCTCTGCGAGCCCGGGGCGGAGGAGCTGCGCTCACCGCGTCGCGGCCTCGAAGGGGGGAAAGGCGCCCGTCACCCGTAGATCTACCCTTTCCTGGTTTCCCCTTTTTCGGCCTCCTGGGCTGCCCTCGTCGCCACCGCTGGATTCGCCTCGAAATTCTGGCCAGAACGCACCCCAGGAGAGGTCCGTGGAGTAGCGGTATCGGTACTATTTGGTCTCGGCGAACAGGACGAGGACGGGTGATGCGGAGTGCCGCCGAGACGCCGAAACAGGGACCGTCTTGGGCCCAGGAGGGGCTCTGGTGCTGGGGCCGTTCCTCGAATCTCGATCGGTGAGCCTAGTCGTGGCCGAGGTTCGCCGTGGCGAGACAATCCCCCTCGCTCCTTGTTCAGCGTTCCCTGTGGCAGCACGACGGCTGTAGGAGAAGGAGGAGGAGGAGGGGGAGGAGCAGGGGGAGGAGGAGGAGCAGGAGCAGAAGGAGGAGGAGGAGGCGGATACGGCGGATACACATATAGAGCGATCAGCGGTGCCGGCATCCAGGCGGTGGTGAATCACAACTCTTGTACATGATCACGTCAAATGAGAGACGCCGGAGATGTACCATGTGTCAAGTTAGCGGGAGCTAGCTTTCTTATCGTTCGAAGACTCGTGGCAAACGAAGCAATCCTTAACCTCCTGACGTATCGGCCAGAAGCGAGGGAACGTACACAGTATCGACTCCAATGTTCAGGTGAACCCCTGGTTCTGAGGACAGGCTGGGGCGGACATATCCTGCCCCCTTCGCAGTACCTGCTGCAACGGCGTCTAAACCGCCACAGCGTCAGGAACTGGATTCACGACAGCCCCGTGCTTCACAGCTCGCTCATGAAGACTTTGGTCTTCCCGGGCGAGGCTAGTTCAGTTTCACTACCTGTTCTTCTCGGACTCGTCATGAGCTGTCCGTGGAAGTGCTTCAAAAGTTCCACCACTCCAGAGATCCCCTCCCCGCCGATGTCATCCGCAAGGAAGCTCCAGCCGGTCGATGAACATCGACGAAAGAGGAGGCGAGGAGGAGGAGGCATAATGAACAGGATTGCATCCATGCGAGCTGTTCAAAAATTGCCTGCCACCGATGGCATCCACCAGTGTGGGGCGGGCTGAGAGCCTAATCGGGGCAGGTGGTTATCGTACCTTCGTCCCACGGAAGCACGCTCTTCCAGCGATCTCTCAAGGGCCGCTGCGCGGCCTCTCGGAGAGCCCCTGCGCGGCCTCTCACGAGCCTTTGCGCAGCCTGATCGTATGTTTTGATTGTTTGCCGAAGTGGTGTCTGTCTTGTTTCTGTGCTTGCAGATTGCAAATGCTGCCCTGCTTGCTCGGCGTCCGACTCGTTTCGTGCGCCCGCGGACCAAAAAGAAGTGGTGTTTGCAGAGTTGTCTTAGGTTTCGGTAAGGTGTCAGCACGGCTCTCTCAGGGGCTTCCGAGTGATTATGCAAGGTGTTTTTTTGTCCGAGCATCCGAGGGGCCTCAGTTCCAATAGTTACCCGTGACAGGTCACGATCCCAGTTCGAATGTGGAGGCAATTGCTTGTCGCATCATCAAAGCCACCTACAGTCAGGTGAATATTGTTGGTCGTTTCTTGCGCGCGCGTGTCAATCGGAAGCGCGTGTTCACGCACTGCACGCGTGCGCACGCACACCCGCGCGTGCACGCGCTCAGGATAGAGCCCTGGTTTGGGCTCGGCCTCAACCTCGCGCTCGGGCTCGGGGTCGAGCTCGCGCTCGGGCCACGCGCACCCGAGCGCGGTCGCGCTCAGGATGGGAATCGGAATCGGGCTCGGTCTCAAGCTCGCGCTCGGGATCGGGGTCTGGCTCGCGCTCGGGCTCGGGCTCGCGCTCGCGCCACGGCTTGCGCGGGTGCAGGCGCGCACGCACGAGCGCACGCACGCGCCCACGCGCACGAACGCGCACACGCGCACGCTTGCGCACACGCACGCGCGCGCGCACGCGCACGCGGACTGCCCCCGCCTGAGGGCGAGGCGCGACTACAATGCTAGGACGACCACCTCTGGGACCCCTAGGCCCCGTACCTTCAACCACACCAGATTCATATTTATAGGTTGGAAAGTGGCTGGGGCAGATGATGTCGCCAAGGAGGGTGGGTTAAAGTACCTCAGTTTTACAAGGGACATTGATTCCAGCAGCCCACGCCGTGGGCTACAGCACCAAATTTCTGACGAAAGACAATGGCTCCAGCAGATCATGCGGTCAAGAAATGTTGTTTCCAGCACCCAACGTTTACAAGGGGCAGTGGGCGTGGGTTCCAACACCCAGGTTTCACAAGGGAAAGCCAAACCAGCAGGTGATGCCGACAAGACGACCGGGCCGTCGCCTGACAAGGCAGCTCGCGCGACCCGCGCCCCAGCCACGAACCCTCCTACAGCCCGTCAACGCTTCACCCGCAAAATATCCACCTGACTGTAGTAAGCTGGCTGCCTGCGATTTAAATCGATTGCCGCGCGGCGTTCCCAGCATCTACCCATACAGAGTCACACTTGTAATCTTCTGTCACCGTTGCAACCGTTATGCAGGATTCGCTCGAAACCAGGCAACTCGCTACAATGAAATTTGTGATAAACTTTGACACACATCCACCAACAAACTACAGCTCGCATGGCCATGCATACTTCGCCACACATCCAATCGTTAGCTAAAGCCTGGAGCAGCTGACGATAAAGACGCCTCCTGGAGGAGACGAAACCATCACCCCCCATACTTAGCGACAGTTCCAACGACTGGGGCGACATTATCACGGTTCTCAAAACCATCAGCAGTACTTTTGCTGAAATGAATGTCGGAAGTGTCTGTGGTTCCATCGAATCGTAGCTCGTCGCCCATTCGTCTTGCAAGGGTTAGCTTGCAGTCGTTGTTGACCGACCAGATCACTACTGAAGTAAATGCTCGTATGAAGATATGTTGACCGCCCGTCTGCTGCTGTACGATGTACTCAGTGGCGCCACATGTGTGGCAACTGGAAAGGGCCGATTCCAATTGGCTGCGATTGGTGTCACATACTTGGGATGTGTCCCATGTGCGTTCATTCCGCGCCATCGCGAGGAGAAGGATGATTGGGATTGGGAGGACGGGGGGCAGGAGGAAAAGAGGGAGGGGGAGGCGGTGGAGGAGGACCAGTGTACATCCAAGACGCGTCAACGATATTGCATTAACATTTTCTCTCAGTCTCCTCTTCACTTGTCCCTACAACTAAAACAAATCACTATGAGAAGTGCCCCAGTGAAAGACAACCGTCGCATCATACCCCTCAACCGTGCCAAACACCGTTCCTGGAACTGCAATTTACGCGAATCAACGTGATTGCCGCATCCTGGCAAGACATCGTTCCTGGGATTTCAACACCGCGGATCAACGTGATTGCCGCGTCCGGACAATCCCAAACGCGCCACGACACCTTTCTTGAGACTTCGGCCCTACGAATCCTTGACACCATTGCAAAGTGTTGCAAATAATGCGTGCGGCGCTGGGCCGACAATCACATTTTGAAAAAAAGCCGCCCTCCATCCTCGAGGATGCTATAAGCCCCTAAGACACATGTTCGCTGCGCTACGATGAGAACCGCATGCTGGAAGCCACCCACCCTCCATCCTGAAAAATGCTGCAGACTTCTAAGATGAACGCGCGCGGAGCTCAGTGGAGAGCCTCACTTTGAAAACCACCCGCCTTCATCTCTGACACTGCTGTGAATTTCAAATTTCATGGTCATAAATTGTGAGGAAGGCTTAGGTGAAACGTCCAGCCCGCCCTGCCCACACGTCTGGGGGCGCGACACGGGGGATTTGTTTGTAAGGGCAGAGATGGAGGACGAGGAGGGCGAGGAGGAGGAGGAGGAGGAGGAGGAGGAAGAAGAGGAGGAGGAGAAGGAGGACGACGAGGAGAAAGACAATGGTGACGAGGAGCAGAAGGAGGAGGAGGAGGAGGAGGAGCAGGAGGAGGAAGAGGAGGAGGACGACGACGACGACGACGGCGACACCGCGTGGCAGGCCTCCGCCCCCGCGCAGGAGCCCGCGCTCCAGGAGGCGGACGGGGAGGCCGCCGCGGCCCTCGCGGGCGCAGGCGGGCTGGACGGGACGGCGGGCTGGAGGGATGACGGGCGGGGCGGGCGGCGGGGGCAGCGGGCCATTGACCCCCCACCCCCGCGCCTCTCAAGACGACCGCCCCCCCGCCCTGCACCCTGAGCAGACGCTGCGGGGTCGCGGCAGTCGCCGTCCTCCGGTCCTGCTGCCCTCTGCTAGAGGGGCCGTGCCCGCGCCCCCACAATGCCGCCTCGCTGGGAGGACACCAACCAACCGACCAACTTTCTGCGTGCCGCCAGGCTTCGGAGCGAGGGCCAGAAAAGGCGCCCCCAAGAGGCCAGCGGGGCCCGCCAGGTCGGGCAGTGCCTCGAGCCAACTGGGGCGACGGCTCGGCGGGCGCCCTCTGCACTGAGCGTCGCACCCACTTGGCTCCCGGCGACGCGCGTACGCTGCGGGGCTCGCCATGGAGCAAGCAGGCCCTGAGGGAAACAGGTTCTTATGTTTTTGTCCGCTTGCGGGCCTTCGGAGACCTTCACGTGCCCCCAGAACGTCGAGAACCGCCACTGGGGAGAACCCCTGGCGTCCGGGATCCGTTTCTCTCAGGACCCGTGTTCTTCATGCCAAAGGCGGGGGAGAGGGAAAGAGAGAGAGAGAGAAGGAGAGGGTGCGAGATTGAAATATTGAGAGGGACATACAAACACACGTCGATATGGATGTAGTAATGCATGTGTGTATGTATGTATGTGTGTGTATGTATGTATGTATGTATGTATGTATGTATGTATGTGTGTATGTATGTATGTATGTGTGTATGTATGTATGTATGTATGTAATGTAATGTAATGTAATGTAATGTAATGTAATGTAATGTAATGTAATGTAATGTAATGTAATGTAATGTAATGTAATGTAATGTAATGTAACGTAATGTAATGTAATGTAATGTAATGTAATGTATGCATGTATGTATGTATGTATGCATGCATGCATGCATGCATGCATGCATGTATGTATGTATGTATGCATGCCTGTGTGTATGTATGTATGTACGTACGTATGTATATATGCATGCACGTATACATTTACATATACGTATCCATGCTCATATACAGACGTAATGTTCGTGTATGCATGATAGGTATGTATACATAACACAGCGCGTAATGTGGACGCTCGGGAAGAGGGGGGGGAGTCGAACTGGGCCCCCCCCTGAATTGCAAAGGGGGAGATTCGAACCAGTCCCCCCCACGCCCGTCGCCAATGGCAAACGACGACGGTGAGCGTTGGCGCTGGCACTGGTGCTGTCGGGCAGCGACGATGACGACGACGAAGACGACGATGACGACAACGATGACGACGACGTCGATGACGACGGACGACGACGACGACGACGACGACGGCGGCGACGACGACGACGACACGATCGATCCCTGGCAGGATGCTATTGATGCTGGTCCGAATTCTAGTAGGACCCTGTCAGAGTTGGATCCAGCCCAAGTAGGATACAATGAGAGCTGGACGCAGCCATCGTGCGATGCGATGCTGCTCGGGCTGGATCGAGCCCGAAATGGATCCCATTAGAGCTGGATCCAACCGCAACTGGTTTGCCTAGATGGTGGATCGGGTTTCAGTGGGATCCCATTCGATCTGGACCCAGCCCTGACAAGATTCCATTGACCTGTCCCGATTCCTACCATGATTATGTTAGAGCTGGGTCGAGCGCTAATCGGCTTCTATGTGATCTGGATCAAGCCCTCCTGGGTTCAATTTGGCTGGATCGAGCCTTCGTAAATCAGACTTGGATCCAGTCCCAGAAAGGTTGCGTCTAAGCTGGATCGCCTCCTAGAAAGATTCGGTTTGAGTTGGACCAGGCCCTAGTAGGCTTCGATTCGAGCCGGATCCCGCCACAGTAGGATTCTATCAGAGTTGGAACAAGTTCTATGAGAGATGTGACGGGCTGTCGCAAGATTCTCTTAAAGTTGAGTCCAGCCCAAAGCAGAATATATCCGGACTGGATCCAGCCCTTCAAGCGTTCGGTCAGAGCTGGACCGAACCCAAGTGGGTTTCGATTAGAGCTGGACCCAGCCCGTGTAGGATTCTATAAGGATTGGATCGGCCCCGAAAGCAATTCCATTTCAGCTGGCTCGAGCCCGACACGGGTTCTTTTAGAGCTGGATCCATGTTTAATGGGATTCTACAGAAAGGCTGAGCCGAGTCCTAGTAGGCGTCCCTGAGACTCGGATCCTGTACTGATTGGTTGATACGACAGCTCGATCGAGCCGTAGTAGGGTTCTAATAGAGATGTATCGAGCCCTAGTGGGTTCTATCAGAGCTGGATCCAACCTCGCTAGATCTTTGTAGAGCTCTAACCAACCCGAGTAGGATTCTATCAAAGTTCAATCCAACGAGGGTGAGGTCCTATTCGAGTTGGATCGAACCCCAGTAGGATGCTGTTAGGGTTCGAGCCGCCGTAGGATTCCATGAGAGTTGGATCCAGCCAGCGCAGGATTCAATGGGACATGAAATCAACCGTGGCAGGATTCTGCAAGAGCTGGATCCTGCCCCTGTTAAATGCCATTGGAGTTAGGTTGACATGGAACTTGTTCGAACTTGATCAACCCCGAACCAACTCGATTAGACTTTGATCGAGCCCGAATGGGCACCATTAGAATTGGGTCGCGCCCTAGCAGGATTCAATTCGAGCTGGACCCGGCCCGAGTAGGATTCCAGTAGAGCTGGTTCGAGCACTGGTAGGGTTCTATGAGAGCTGGATCGAGCTCTGGTAGCGTTCTATCAAAGTTGGACCGAACCGGTCGTCGTCCTAGTCGTCGGTCGTCGTCGGCATCGTCGTCGGCGTCGTCGTCGTTGTCGTCGTCGTCATCGCCGTCCCTGGCTTTCGTCGTCGTCCAACACTCGGCGTCGTCGTCGTCGTCATCGTTATCGTCGTCAATTTTCAGTCGTCCGTCCTCCGTCGTCCGCGTTTCTGCTTTTCGTCGTCCGTCGTCTGTCGTCCGTAGCCCGTTGTGTTTGTCGTGGTCGTTGTCGTCGTCGTCGTACCTGGCCGTGCCCGTCGTCGTCTCCGGCCGTCGTCATCGTCGTCCGTCGGTTGGGAGGAGCAGGCAAACGGCGCGGGGCGCACACGCGGGAAGCTCAGGGCAGGAGGGACGAGGCGGGCAAGCAGGCTGGCGGAAAGGGGCTGGTGGAAGACAGCAGGCAGGCAGGCTCGTGGGAGGCGGAGAGGGCAGGGGCGGGGCAGTGGTCTCCAGGTGCGGGCCCAGTGGTGGGGCTGTCCCGGGTGCTTCTGGAGCAGGAGTGTGAGGAAAGGAGAAGACGGGACGAGGAGGTCAGGGGTGGGAAGTGGGAGCAAGGAGCAGACGATGAGCAGGGTGAGGAAGGGAAGAGAGGGAGGGTGAGGGTGAGGAAGGGAAGGGAGGGGTGGGAGCTGCCGCGCCTGGTCGACGTATTTTGTTCGCATCACTAACGGCCCCGGCCGTGCCCTTCGCCAGGACGGGCTCAGGGGCAGCAGCATATAAAACGGAAGCCTGCATCGCATCTGATTCACCCCCGTCACTTGAATCAATGCTCTTGCGATATGGGAGCAGATCTCGGAGGAGGAAAAGGAACCCATACCGCTACCCCTCACCCGTTTTCCACCGTTTGGGCTTCCCGGGAGGCCCTCGTCACCACCGTTGGATTCGCTTCGAAATTCGGGTCAGAACGCCCACCAGGAGAGGTCCGTGGAATAGCGGTATCGGCTTTTTTGTTTTCCCGAAAGACCAAGAATGTACCAGTCACCTGTGTAACTGGTGGCCTTCGGCCTAGCTCGCCACCGTGCCTGCGTCGCGGCGCCCGGTACATCCCCCAGAACTAGTGGATTTCAGAGATTCAAGCGTTTGTCCGGCGGGTTGGATATTGTCCCGATTTTCGCTTGATGGGGTTTGTTGCTAGATCCAACCTGGCGCACCTTGCCGCAGCTGTCCGTCCGGAAAAGTGGTGGCGGGCAAACCAGCCAGAAGGTGATATCAGTACCTCCCCAGGGTGCCTCACACCAGTCATCGTGAGAGAGGGGTGGGGAGGAAGAGAGGAAGAGGAGGAGGTGGAGGAGGAGCAGGAGGAGGTGGAGGAGGATCAGAAGGACAGGGAGGGCGAGGAAGGGTAGGCGCGGAGGAGGAGGAGGAGGACGACGACGCCGACGCCGACGCTGACGCCGACGCCGACGCGGAAGACGACGCCGACGCCGACGCCGACGCCGACGCCGATGCCGACGCCGACGCCGACGCCAACGCCGACGCCGACGTAGACGACGACGCCGACGCCGACGGCGACGACGGCGCCGCCGGCAGGGGTCACCCCTGGCGAGCTGGCCGCGTGTGCGTCGGTGCTCCGGCGCCTGACAGCGGCCCGCGGGAGCGTGGGCCAGGGGGGGTGCGCCGAGAGGGTCGTCGTCGTCGTCCTCGTCGTCGTCGTCGTCGTCGTCGTCGTCGTCATCGTGGTCGTCGTCGTCGTCGTCGTCGTCGTCGTCCTCGTCGGACTCGGACTCGGACTCGGAGTCAGGAGCGGGTCCAGGATTTTGCACGGGTGGTGCGCAGCCTTCTTGTAGGCTCCTTGGGGCTATCGTGGCTACGAGGGCCCGGATGGACCCTGGGAGGGATCGGAGTTTGAACGGGTTGGGAGCGAAACTTTGCTGGCGGGGCTTAGGCAGAGATCTCCTCCTGCTACTCGTGCTTTTTGTTCTCACTTTCCTCATGCTCCTACTCCTCTCCTCCTCCTCCTCCTCCTCCTCTTCCTCCTCCTCCTCCTGATCTTCCTCCTCCTCCTCCTCTTTTTCTCCCTCCTCTGCTACCTCCTTGTCCATCTAATTCCTCCTGCTTTTCCTTCTCCCTCCCTCCCTACCCGCCTCCTCTGCCACCTCCTTTTCCTTCTCCTCTCTCCTCTTCCGCCTCCCGTTTCTTCTCATCCCTCCCTCCTCCAGCCCTCGGCAGTGTCTCCCTCTTCCGCCGCAGTCCATGACAGTGCCTCCCTCCAGCTCTCGGAGAGGGGGGGTCGGGGGGGGTAAGGGGGAGCTCGTCCTTCACCCTTCTCCTTCCTTTTCCGAAAACCTCGGGGTGCCTCGACGCACTCGCGCATGCATCTCCCCCCCAGGTGGACTGGGGCTCCCCGGCCCTGCGGGAGCTCCGGAAGGCGCTGGCGCCGCATCTCGGCGAGGCCGCGGCGCGCCTCCCCCAGAAGGACCAGCTCGACGCCAAGGTCCCTCGGCGGGCACTGCCGGCGTCGAGGAGGAGGATCGAAGTGGACCCTCCTCGATTCTCCTCCCCCTCCTCCTCCTCCTCGATTCTCCTCGTCCTCCTCCTCCTCCTCCTCCTCTTTCTCCTCGTCCTCCTCCTCTTTCTCCTCCTCCTCCTCCTCCTCCTCCTCCTCCTCCTCCTCCTCCTCCTCCTCCTCCCCATCCTCCTCCCCGTCCTCCTCCTGCGCCCGACTGCGGGCGTCGCGCACACGGCTCCGCCGCCTGCGTCGCCGCCTGTGACAGTTGCCTGCAGCGGCGGCGGCGGCGATAGCCAGCAGCGGCGGCGACGGTCGACTGCGACGGCAGCGGCAGCGGTGACGGCGACGGAGGTGGCGACAGCGGAGACGGCGACGACGGCTATGGCGACGGAGGCGGCGAAGATGGCGGTGGCGCTCCCCTGCTGGCGGGATTCCGCACTCGGCCAGATACGCTCTCAACACGGCCCCAAGGCACCACGCCAGATTTTTCATCGATCCTGGCCTCTAGTCTGCTTGACCCGGTCTGCTCTAGGGTGCTGCCCGCGTGTGGGATTTTGCCAGACGCGGTGGCAGTAGGGCATCAGCGTCGCCTCTTCTCGCTGCTGTGAGGAGGGCAAGGAGGAGGGCTGCAGGGAGGAGGCGCATGGTGACTTCCGGGCGCTTCTTCTCGGAGGGAGCCAGCGTGCCCAACTCTCGCCCTTCCTGCCCTCCGCCTTTCCCTCGTCTCCCTCCACTTGCCCCCCCGCCTCCCCCAAGGAATGGTTTACGCAGTAACGTGTTGAATTTCGCAAGCGGGAAACGGCACACACACACACACACCACACACATACTTGACAGTCTAGGTTGATGCGAAAGCCACATGCACGATATCCTCCTCATCGATGCATGCGGTAGCATATGGAATACTACCACGCACGAGGACACATAATGGCACAGGCCGTGCCGCAGAACACTTGATCGTATTCGTGACCATGCTACATTAAAGTATTCCCGTACTCACGCATATGTGAAGTCTCTGGTACTTGTAAATGGGGATGCGGGTCGGACAATTGCAGATTATTTGCAACAGTAAGATTTGAATACCGCGAAGTTGCAAGTGTACCTTGCTATTTCACATGTTGAACAGCTATCCCGCTGCACACTCAAGTGCACGTATCACGTTGCAGCTGAATGCGCCAATGGTCGGAAGTTGCAAGTGTAATGGCAAACGTGAAATACGAATACAATTGCTAGTGGACCCGAGGATATTGAGCAAGCTGAATGTGTGAACCATTTTCTGCACACATGAAAAGTACAAGTGAACGTAAGCGTCAGGGGGAAGGTGTTTATGAAATACATGTGTGTAGATAGTGTCGCACGTACAGGCACCAAACGCGGATTGCAGATGATGCTCTGGCGGTTCGATATGTTGCAGTAGCGTGCACGATTCGGTGGCAGTAGTTCCACCATAGATAGATATATACATATAACGGCGCACCGGGTCCGGGCGCCCGGGGCCGGCGCCGCTACCGCAAATGTGGGCTCCGGGGCCCTCGGGGAGCCCTGGGGCCTCACAGAAGACCGCCAGAAGGCACCAAGGAGGCCCCAAGAGGCTCCAGAACAGACCCGGGACGCCCGAAGGTCGCTCCCAGACGCCCAACATGGCCTCCAAGGCCCAAGCGACCCCCAATAGGGCCACACAGAGAGCCCCAAGGGGCCAACACATACAGTGGTTGTGTGGGGCAACCACGAATTGCGGAATAGCATTCAAACGTTGCATGTCGTATATCTTTGTTTCCGACCTGGAATGTGATCGCGTGGTGGCCGTCAGTTTTACCTCTGGGAGAACATAGCATTACACAGACAAGCGTGCATGCACTCTCTGAGTGACTCAGATGTGGCCATCCCTTGCTGAAGCCAGCGCTTCTATTCTATGCAGTCGACACGAATGTCTGCGCGCCTGCCCCCCGCGCTCAGTTCTCCGAGGGGCCAAGCCAGCCAACACATCCTCATGGAATTGCCTAGAAAGTATCCCATCGTTTTCTGGAGTTCCCACTTGTCCACGACATGTAGCTCCAAGATGACCTCGCAGTTTCAAGCGCTCCCCGAGAGAGCCCCAAGATTGCCCCAAGATGGTCCAGGACCGCCCCGCGAGAGCTCCAAGAGGGCCGGCGACGGTCTCCGGAGGAGCCCGAGACGGCCCAGGAGGGCCCCAAGACGGCCAAGAGTCCTTGGGCCCTGCTTGGAGGCCCAAGCATGACAAAGACTCCCTAAGTGGGCCCCAGGACGGTCCCAAGAGACCCGCAATACTACCAAAATGTGTAAGGATGCCCCAGGATTGCACCGAATACCAAGCCTCAGAGCGACTTCACACATCGCCAGACCGTGGACTTCCAAACCAAGGACCCGATCATCCTGACGCGCCTCCTCTGGCGCGCTGTATGCGTGGCCGCATAGCAAGCAAGACTTTGGCGTGCTCGAAGCACGAGCGATGGTGCAATTATATATATATATATACACACATAAATCCATATATATATATATATATATGTATATATATATACACACAAGTGGCACGTGTGTGCCCAGGCTCATACAAAAAACTGAAAGGGCGCTTGAAGCAGGAAGACACCATGACTGCAGGATCGGAGATGGAGAAGGGGAAGCTGGGGCGGCGCCGCCAGGGCGTGCCTAAGAGAAGGAGGAGAGGCAGGAGGTGAACGCATAATAATCTAAGATCGAGGTCGCACTCGAGCGCAAGTGGGGTTGCCACACCTTGCGATGTGTGTACCAGGCCCCCCCAGGAAACCTCAGGAGGTCCGACTTGGATACCGGAAGAGGCTCCAGGAGGCCCCAGGATTGTGAGTGTTGTGTGTGTGATGTGTGCTCAGTGTTGTGCGTGTTTTCTGTGCGTTGTGTGTTGTTGTTGAACATTATTAATTCTAAAGAATAATTATTGTTGGGACCCCTGGTGCACGGCCCCCCTGCGCCGCCTAGGCCGCAGCTACATTTTCATCATTTTCGTGAGGAAGCCTCAGGTAATACGATGTCATCAAGATCCGGTTGTTTTGTTGTAATCCGTTTTCCCTTGCAAAAAACACTATAAAATGACATTTCTTGTTCTAATATAATCAAATTTCAAGAATCCCTTGCAAAAAATAAGGTAAAGTGGACATTCGCGCGCGCAAGACGAAATCCTTCCAAAAGCTTAGTGTTCGGAGCGATTTTAACATAAAAACATCAAAAAACCAATGGTTTTTCAACAAAAAAATGTCAAAATCTCATCCCGCGCGCTCTTGCGGATTCGTAGGAAACCCAACACTTTTTAAACATTTCTGTCAAACGGGCTTTTGCGAGCAACTTTTTCGAACTTCTGCGACAACGGTTGCGCACCTGCCAGGGCCATCATCCCTGTCAAATAATACCATGCGGGACACATTCGTTTTTTCTTCGCGCGCGCACGCCGAAATCTCCAAAAACCATTGGGTTCTTAAGAATTTTAGCACCGCGCATCATAAAATCACACGAATCGCACCGTAGGTCCTCGACAACCATCAGGACAACCATCGGGACAATCATCGGGACAACGATCGGGACAACCACAACCATCAGGACAACCATCGGGACAACCATCGAGACAACCATCGGGACAACCATATCCTCTCTCTCTTGTGTATTCCCACATCCCTCAGGAATTTGCCCTAAAGATGTGATCAACTATCTTGTGAGTACGTATCATGTGTATCATGTGTATCATGTACCATATGCATCATATGCAACAGATGTTCTGTGGAAGGCTTAACAACTTCTGTGGGTTAACAAGGCTTAACAACTTCTGTGGGTGTACGAACGTAGGCTTAACAACTTCTGTGGGTGTGTACTCCACGCCAGTGTAGTAGCCACGGTCGTCCGCAGGCCACGAAGTGAAGTGTCCGAACGTCATAGGGCGGGAAGCTGGGTGTGGGTGGTGGCGAAGAGTCGTGTGGATATTTGGTAGAGCTTGCACTGCCCCCCCACAAAGTGGGGGTATTGGCTGGCGTCGCATGAAAACCCTGGCACTGGTGAGAACACTGAGCGTTCGGGTAAAGTGATTGTTGTTGTTGTTGTTGTTGTTGTTGTGGTGGTGTTGTTGTTGTTGTGGTGGTGGTGGTGTGGTGGTGGTGGTGGTGGTGGTGGTGGTGGTGGTGGTGGTGGTGGTGGTGGTGGTGGTGTGTGTGTGTGTGTGTGTGTGTGTGTGTGCGTGCGCGTGTGTGTGTATGTTATGCTTGTCTAGCATGTGATGTGTTGGGTGTGATTTGTGTCTCTGTGTGTGCATGTAGTTCTGAGGCCTCAGGAGGCCCCAGGCGGCCTCAGAAGGCCCCAGAAGACCCCAGGAGGCTCCAGGAGGCCCCAAGAGGCTCCAGGAGGCCGCAAGAGGCCCCAGGAGGTTCCAGGACACCCCCAGGAGGCTCCGAGGCGGGGTCTGGGGTACCAGAAGGTACAGAAAGCCCCAGGAGGCCCCAGGAGGTTCCAGGAGGCTCCCAAAAGGCTCCGAGGCGGGGTCTGGGTACCAGAAGGTACGTCGGGGCTCGATTTTGGGAGGATGTCTCAGGCGAAATCGCCATTCTCTGAGAATCGGGGTCAAAACCATTGAACTTACAATGTGTTTTGAAGGTTTTATGTTCGAATGTTGAAATTCCCATGTGTTTTTTGGACCCTGGCGTCACGATCTGCGTGAGGGGTGCCACCGATTTTCAGAATTTCGAGGATGTCCCTAGCGAAACGGCCAGAATAATCGCGGACGCGGCGCCCCACGTACGCATTAATCGCCTCTGAGATCTACTCCCTCGGAGGGATGCGTATGATAATACCTACTTACCTACACACGCACATACATACATACACGCATCCATACACATACATACATACATCCATCCATCCATCCATCCATACATACATACATACATACATACATACATACACATATACATACATACATACATACATACAAACATACATACATACAT